CTGATGCGAGGCTCGATCCCAGGACCCTGGGATCATGACCTGAGCCGAAGACTGAGCCACCCAGGCTCCCTAAGCTCTTCCTTGTTTCTGAATTAATCATTATGTCCCAAATTTGCTTATGCTTTTCATTTTAATAATGCAGATGTTAACATAAATCTATATATACATACATATATATTTCTATATGTTTAATGTATATACATTTAGATTTTCAATACAATTTAGTAAAAAGACAGAATGAGGAGTAGAGTTTTTAAACCTATTTGCAACATTTTTGTAACTAGAATCTGACTTCCTTCTGGAAGTGGTCCAGTTTTCTAGAAAAAGTAGAAATGGCCATATGGAATAAAAAAGATCAACTCACAACATCAATACATAGGTTACAGAGGTGAATCACCCTTCCTGCTAATGAGCTTTGGGTTTAAATTTTAGGAATACTATACTATATAAATGGCCAAAATTCTGAAATATGTTTACCTCATTAACTTAGGACAGCAATCAAAGGCAAATTTGCTCCTCAAAATTTATTCAACTCAAGAAAATACAAATTACGTATCTGTAAATACTTTCTAACACTAGTAAATAAATTATAATAAATTCAATGGACTATGTAATTCTGTTGCTGTGAATCACTGTTATTAAAACTTAATGTTCTCCTAGAAATCTATTCCAATTTCATAGACCCTGAAACTTGCAAAATTAAAGGGGTATATGGCTTTTCCAAGTCAATATCCTACACACTGCTTAGTCCAGGAACTACTGTTTTCTAAGTGAAATAATAGCACACAATTCCCTGAGGACAATGACAAGAAGAAAAGAACTTAGACCCCAGCAGGAAAGAAGAGAGGTATCTTGTGCCTGAAATAATTGAAATATGATGATATGCAAATTGTCTAGCACAATTTCTATTACACAGTTGGAACTCAAAAATGGTAACTTACATTTTCTTCAACTCATTTTTTGTACTGCTCTGTTGTTATGGATGGTTTAGAAATTCCTATAATTTTATTAGATGATTAAGATGTCTACAACAAATTAAAGCATAGCTGTTCTCTGATAACAGGACATTAATTTAGCTCTCTAGCGTCCTCTTCTCCAATATAAATAGCACTCAATTAAGTTCTTTCAGTATAGAAAATACCTGTTAGGTACTTGCGATTTATTAACTGCTGTGGCATAAAATTCAAAGCACTATTGAGTAAGTCTCTCTCTTCCAACAGAAAAGTTTATTATATGGATCACTTCATGTAAAGTTATTAACTAAAATTACAGTCTTTAAAAACCTCCAGTGATCTAACTAGTGGAGATACTCAACAGGTATTTCTATTATACATGCTAAATCTGTGTGTACACCTATACATGTTAAAAAGTGCTACAAAGTGTCAGTATCCTGAGACTGTATTACTTCTTAAAAAAGTATTAATATATAACTACTGAAAGTAAAACAGCAATTTTATGAAAACAACTAACAAAAGAATCACTAACTAGTTATTCTTAAGATTCTCTGGCTGAATTATAAAACTAATCGTTTGTTTAGTTCACTGTTTATCTCAATAATTAGAATAAAAATTTTAAAGAAACTTGAAACAGTTACCTTAGCAAAGTCATATTTTGAAACTAATAAACATAATGCCATATCTCAAAATGAAGACAGAGTCTAGGATAGAATAAGAAAATGAACTGATTTCTTAAAATGAAGATTAAAGTTTATTGTTCACTTCTGTGAAAGACTTCCTATTTTAATTAAATGAAACAAATCTAGGATTAAAAACTATAAACATATAAGTAGATTTTAAAAAATACTTGATTGGTATATGAGTTATTTATCAATAAAGCTGTTATTTAAGAAAAATGTCTGCCATATCTCTTCGCAAAAACTCCCCAAACTCTGGTGTAACTGTGTTAGTTCTTCTAAATAATACTTGCATTTTAGCTCTTTATAACCTATACTATAGGATTCCCCCCCTAAAAAAAACAAACAAAAAGAATCCTTTCACAGTATGCATTTCCTGAGCAACTCCTTATTTTTGCCAAAAATGCCATCAATTCATTTGGATAACTTTCTTGTGTTAGGAAAATGGCCCCTGTCTTAACTACTGAGAACCTACAATACTGTTCCAGAAAGTCTGTATTTCTGAAACTTATTCATTCACATATTGAACCTCAAACTCTTAACTACCTTTCTAGTCGGACAAAAGCAAAGGTCTGCAAAAAATGAGAAGGAGTACAAATTTCAGACTGGTGATTCTCAACTATATCTCCCAGGTTTTGACACTTGGCCCACGGAGAGGGGAGGAGTTGTGTAGAAGTAAGCCCTCTTTCTCCCAGCCCCAAACCTGGAACTTACCCGATAAAAAGATGTTATATAAAAGTGTGAATAGTACAGAGGCAGAAAAAGGCTTGAGAGATATTCTTTTATCCAATATTCTGGATTGTGGATTAGCAGCATCATGTTTACTCATTCCCTCAGTAATATGTAAAGGGAAAAAAATCTAGATTGGCGAATCTGAGAAACACATTTTAAATAATTAAGTAATAAAGAATGTACATGAACACCTATATGCCCAGCCTCTAAATTTTAAAATTTAAATTGATTTAGAACTTGTGAAACACAAACCTTTATAGCAGAACTAGAAGTCTGTTCCCACCAGGCCCTCATACCTGATAGCAGCCAATCCGGCTCCTTCAAAACTCTGAAGAATTAACTACATCAAGAGTCATCATTTTTATACATTTCATATTTAAACAGCAAATGTATAGATTAAAAATAAAATTCACAGAAGTCTAAATTAATGTGCCTTTCCCTAGACATCAAGTCTTTTGGCCAGGAAACACTGAGTAACTGGTAATTTACTTCAAATCCTTCTCTCCGACAGTTATGTCACTGAAGATACTCATATGTCAAATAAAAAAGCAACTCCATATTGATACCTACTAACTGATTTCCCTACAGTAATTATTCTGTAATTTAAACTCTCTTACCTATAATGTTACAAGACAAAGTCTATTCTACTAATAAGACAGAACCCTAGAATAAGATTATATTGGTTACTAAAAGTAAATTTATGTAAAAAAAATTACAAATGACTTGGTTTTAGATCATAGAAACTTTCTATATGTGAATAAGAAAGCTGTTAATGTTACCTCCTTACTCTCTTCACCTTCTTTGGAATGTCAATAACTTCTTGATCTAGTAAGAATTTATTACTTCAGAATACTTCCTTTGGTTAATTCTCTTATTTTCATGATTTTCAACTCATGTCTTTCAATCTAATTTATCTGGAGAGGATTTTCTCAAATAAGGAGAGGGAAGGAGGAAGGATCAACATTCTATTAGTGACTCAAATTCAAGAACTTTCAATATCTATATATAAAAAAACTTGAAATTGAGTTTGGTATTACTTAAGAGGAAGTGTTCTTTTCCAAACCTAGCTGACATTTTTTCAGCTTTTAAAAGGAACTGGATCTACTGTCAACAGATGTTAAAAAGCACAGAAGAAACAGACTTTTAGTTCTATATAGATTCAACAAGTCTATAAAAAATAATCTCAAAAGATACAAAAGAAATCAGTTAGTCAATTTCTACTTGTGGATTTAAAGTGAAATATTTCATTAAAAATATATTTTTTCATATTTTATCATCTGATACAATTTTTAAGCAATATTAAAAATTTTAAATTCCAGAAAAAATATTCAGGGACATTTTAGAACCCAGTGGATATAAAGTAAAACCAGGTCATCTTACCAATTTGATTACTAAAAAGATCACAGTTAAATCCACAGAATCTGTTAGAAAATGTCTGGCAACACATGAACAGTGAGCAGGGCTGATAAGTTTCTTTGGTCTGTTTAAAGTTTTCCTGCCTTCAATCAGGAAGGCTGCACACTGCAGTATACAGCTCAGGGAAAAGATTCGTACACAAGATTAATGGTACATTGGTTAATGCATACAAGAAAAATATATGAAGTTCCTTTACAGTACCAAATCCTTATTTAAACCACAACCTTCCACTTCACTGTTCTTTTTGAAATGAAATGAATTTACTTAAAACAATGCTGTGATGGATTTAAGTACCATTTAAAAGATGAGAGGTATCATTGGATAAGAAACCTCTACTTAGAAGGATAAAACTTCAGAGCGTGTGTGTGTGTGTGTGTGTGTGTGTGTATATACATACATATATACATAACTTTTTACCTTTTTTTAAACCGAACACACTTAGCAGTGTATAAAACCCAACTAAAAAAAGAAATACAGTTGGGCAATCTAATATTATTGAAAGCACTCACTAATTTATCAATAACTAAGACTTTTTTCTATTAGCTTATCCATCAATCTTTTATTCTGGTTCATTAAAAAATGGAACCAATTTTATATAAAGTGTATGATTTGAGAGCGGAATAAAAATAAATTTGATAAATTTCAAACATTACTTTCCATACTTTTTCATTGATATTACAAAATGCTTTCACATAAATATTACATTCAAATCTTCCATTACTTTAAACTAAATTTAAAAGAAGTCTAAAGTCACATGTTTTTAAATGTAGGGAAAAGGTTATAATAAACATGCTACAAACAGAAAAGAGACTTGAGTGCTTGAGTTCTTTTTCAGATTATACAAAATATTTTTCTCTTTCAGTAAATTTTAAAAAAGAATTGTTAAATAGAGACTCGAATGTAATTTTCTATCCATAGCCTGGTATGTAACTTTTTTATGTGCAGTCAACAAAAGAGCTTCAAGCTTGTTTTCACATCTGAAGATAGGTTCCTAGAAAAGAAATGGCACTAACAGATATGCCAATGTGAAATTTTAAGAAATAAGAATTATATCAAGAAATGTATACTGAAATATTTTAAGGTTAAAAGTATTTATTTTTAAACCTCTTAAAACAAACCCTCAAATCACACTCTTTTTTGATATGAACTTTGCCAGCACTGTTCATGTTGGCCAGATAATACACTAGTTTTCTTTAATAAAATAAAATGAAATGCATACCAGCAGCAACTACAGCTGGAGGAGGCGAGCCTGCCTCACCACCACTTGTCTGACTCATTGATGCTACAGACGTTTCTCTAGATGGAGGTAACTGTAACTCCTTTGGGAGAAGATCATAGACAGATTCTGTAGAAGGAAGGAGAAAAAAATTTTAAGAGAGTGAAAGTCAATAGCCTAATACATGAACATGTATTAATATATGAAATTAATATGTCTTTTCACTCAGGAGGAGAACTATATTATTCACATACACAAAAAACTTCCATATAATTACTGTTGTAAAGAATTATTAGCAAATATTTTTCTTTTATTATGCAATTTTACTGAAGAATGAATTTCCATTAGTTCTGTCCCCGGTTTTCTTCTTGGCTTTTTCCTTTATATTTAAGATGCTCTCTAAAGTTATTAAATTTTAGAACTGGATAAGCTCAGACAAAATATAAGAAACATCAAATAAGCCAAAATGGTCCAATATCTTCCTTTATAATAGTAAGAGTGTAACTTACCATACTCTTACCAGCTTTAAAATGGCTTCTCCACTGAGACCATTAGTCTAGCCTTGCTCTTCTACCCAGCACCGTATAGCAAATATTTTAATTCTCTATCATAACGCATTTTTTCCCTCCCAAAAAAAGCTAAACAGGGAATGTCATAGCTCAAGGAAATATTGTACTCTTTATTCTGAGCTATCTCCAAACTCTAGAAAGGCACAAATTTGGATACTTTTTTTTAAAAAAAAAGATTTTATTTATTTGACAGAGAGATAGAGACAGCAAGAGAGGGAACACAAGCAGGGGGAGCGGGAGAGGGAGAAGCAGGCTTCCCGCGGAGCAGGGAGCCCGATGCGGGCCTCGATCCCAGGACCCTGGGCTCGTGACTTGAGCTGAATGCAGACGCTTAACCGACTAAGCCACCCAGGCATCCCTATCTTTTTTTTATTATGTTCATATATCTTTTTTTTTTAAGATTTTATTTATTTAATTGACAGAGAGAGAGAGCGAGCGAGAGGGTACACAAGCAGGGGGAGTGGGAGAGGGAGAAGCAGGCTTCCCGCAGAGCAGGGAGCCCGATGTGGGGCTCGATCCCAGGACCCTGGGATCATGACCTGAGCTGAAGGCAGTCGCCCAACCAACTGAGCCACCCAGGCGCCCCATATGTTCATATATCTTTTTAATGTACTTTATAATCACTGTCCATAAAATTACGTTTATATCTACTATTTAAAAAAATTTTTGTATTTATTATTCTATGGTTTTGGGCACAGATAATTCTCAGAATATCTGGTAAAGGTAATAGAATCAATGTTAGAAGGAACTTTAAACAAGCATTTAGAATCATATGCCCATTTTCAAAAAGAACTGAGACACAGGGTTTAAGGGACTTGCCCAGTATTCCAAGAAAGCCAACATTCCAACAAATAAAAAAGAGTATTAATCATTTGCATGAGGGATTAAAAAACAAAGGTAGCACTCTAAGACATTTTATCCTTGATAACAAACAATACTTTTAGTAACTGATCACTGAATACATAAATACTTTGATCCTTCCAATTAATCATTGAATTATGTACACCAACTTTGACATGGATAGGGATAAGGAAGAATGTCCTGAAGGAAAGCTAAAACTAGAAGTTTTACTATTAAATGATCTTCACTCACAGCACAGAATCAACTGAAAACTGTCTTTTGAAACTCTGTTACTAACACTTAGAGAACCTAATTAAAACAGAAATGCCAGTATCATCAAATATTGATTTTAAAACAATGTTTCTCAATACATGCTGAAAACAAGACTTCTTTAAACATAAGAGAAGCATACTCAAGTCTTTTTTTTTTTGTCCAAACCAAAAGGAAATATGAAAATAAAAATAGCGTAGATGAAAAGAGAAAGGACCTACCAAAATATATCCATCAAGGAAAAAAAAAAGTCCTAGTAATAGTCCATCACTAACAGTACTTCACTCTTTGGAACTATTTCTCCACTTCTTTAATTATTAAAATAAATAAATCAAAACAAATCAAACCTGTCTGGGCTGAAACACTCTACCTTTCCCAAAGAAGTGTATAAAATTGAATCTATATTAGAGGTATAAAAGCAATGTTAATAAAAATACAGTGGAAAGTAAAAAAAAAAGAAAGCAACTAAATATAGAACTTATTATATCTTAGTCCTCCGCACAGCCTACCCCCCAAAACAAACAAAGTAACATGCAAGGTGAAGAAGAAGGTGTAGGAAGCATGGACTCATTCCTTCATCAAAGGTATTTTCTGATTAACTGACTGAAGTGTTTGGAAATTAAAGAAGTCAGAGTTTTATCATATCTACCCAAGGGAAGAAGCAGTTAATACAGTCATTACCATCATAGGTTCTGATTTTAGACATAACTGGGTTGGCTCTGCTACTTCAAACAATCTCTGTAAGACTTAAATCCTCATTTAAAATTTTTCTTTTATCCCATTATCTTTTTTTTTAAATTTATTTATTTATTTTACAGAGAGAGACACAGCGAGAGAGGGAACACAAGCAAGGGGAGCGGGAGAGGGAGAAGCAGGCTTCCCACAGAGCAGGGAGCCTGACGCGGGGCTCGATCCCAGGACCCTGGGATCATGACCTGAGCCGAAGGCAGTCGCTCAACCAACTGAGCCCCCCAGGCACGCCCCCTCTTTTGCCCCATGATCTTGAAGAAACTCTCCCCGAGCTATAATTGTATAACCCAACCACATATACTGGCCTTACTCTTAAATCTGCTTCCCATAAGACATAAACAGATTAAAGGAATATAAATTATGCTGTTAATACTATTGTCATTTACTCCTAAATTCAATCCAAATTACATTTACAGTATCCACTACCCAATGAAAGAGCTCCTGAATAAGACCATAGGTATTTTAAAATCCATGAAATTGAAAAATAGTCCTAAGTTGGTACTAACCACCTCATGTTAAGACATTGTATCTATTTTTGTGTTATTTTTTAAACTAATTTGATAAGGAAGGAATGAATTTCTAGGTTTATAAACACAGAATAGGAAGAAAGAGAACAGGAGATCCATAATGGAAAGGCAGTTTCTTGGGGAAAGACTTTGCTAGAATACAAAAGTAAAATCACTTCTAGATTTTTTTTAACAGAAGAAAGTGAGAATGGACACAAGTTTTCTTTTTGGGATGGTAAAAATGTTCTAAAATTGAATTATGGTAATGGTTACACAACTGTAAATAAACTAACCACTACTGAATTTGTATACTTTAAATGGGTGAATTTTATGATACGTAAATTATACATCAGTAAAGCTGTTTTCAAAGCAAGCAAGTGGAATAGAACAAGTACAAGTGAAATTGCACAGGAGCAAGGTACGTCTCTCACTGTTCCTAATAAACCTCTGGATAAAAATATCTCTTCACATAGCTTCTATCTGTGAAAAGTGAAATTATGAAGGCCAAGCTGCACACTAATCTAATTTGCTTTTTTAAGGCTCTTCTATTAGAGGATCAGGAAAATGCCACAGGTATAGTTATCCTAAATTTGGTAAAATATCTGAGGAAAATCTTAAAAACTTCTCATAACCACGATGAAGAAATGTAGACTTAATAAAACAGATGATTCTAAGCAACAGCACCCAAAAATGTATGGGTTTAGAGATTAAATTTGCAAATGACATAGGCTTAAGAAGGATATATATATATTAAAGATTTTATTTATTTATTTGACAAAGAGAGACACAGTGAGAGAGGGAATACAAGCAAGGGGAGTGGGAGAGAGAGAAGCAGGCTTCCTGCAGAGCAGGGAGCCTGATGTGGGGCTCGATCCCAGGACCCTGGGACCATGACCTGAGCCGAAGGCAGACGCTTAACAACTGAGCCACCCAGGCACCCTTAAGAGGAATATATTGCGTGTCATGATTCATCACAGATCATTCAATGCTGGAATATCTGCCCAGAGGAATAAAGTGAAATTTAGTTAGGACTAATGTAACAGCTGGTAAAAATTGTTCTTGTACAATGTACTGAAAGGCACTTTCTTTTTTAATTGAGAAATAATTTTACTTTTGTTTTCTTTTCTTGTTATTATTTTAAATAGGCTCCACACTGGGTGTGGAGCCCAATGTGGGGCTTGAACTCACAACCATGAGATCAAGACCTGAACTGAGATCAAGATTTGGACCCTCAACCCATTGAGCCACCCAGGCTCCCGTTTATTTTAAGTAAGCTCTATGCCCAACATGGGGCTTGAACTCACAACCCCAAGATCAAGAGTTGCATGCTCCACCAACTAAGCCAGCCAGGCACTGATTTCTAAGAAATTCTTTCCCTGGTCGGCCAGGATTGAAGTGACTATTGTCTTACCTATTTTTTCTATTAATGTTGCTAATAATTTATGCAGTAATGTTTAATCAACTCACTAATGGTTTATTATGAATTTTAGTTGACCAAAATCCCATGTAAGTGCACTGCTTAAATATCCCTGTCATAGAATTAGGGCAGGTGTAAAATAACTTCATAAATAAATAAATAACTTTGTTATGTGTATCAAATAACTTTGTTAATAGAAATTATTAACATAAGTATATGAAAAGGGAAATTAGGCAGAAAAAGAAACAAGCCCCCAAGATCAAGAATTTGTCTTATGTTGGTGCAATACTGTAGAGTCTAGGGCCATTAGAGGGAAGGAAGAAATGGAGGAATTAAATTATTTTCAGATTCTGAAAGCAAACCAATGCTTCCCAGTGTTGGTGGGAAGATGAACAATGTAAAAATGGGCTAACTGGCTGGTTTGTCTGCTTGGTCATTCAGTAAACTCTAATTGATCCAATTATGTCACTGATTATTTTCTGGGTCAATTTGGTCTTTTATTCTTCAACACTGGCTATGAGTTGTTTCACTATACGGCATCAAACTCAAAGTAGACAGAAATCCTATCCTGAGGGCACAATGCAGTGAAAGAGAAGAGAAAAGTTGGTAACTTAATAATGCAGCTTATTTTTTTTTTCATTTTCTCAATTGGCAATGTTCCCTAACCGCTGATAATCCAAATCCCATTCTCTACTGCTTCATTCTGCAAGTTGCTCAGTCTCAGGAAAAGGTGAAAAGACTTCAAATCCCCATACTCTCTCACTTTCCCCTGAAAGT